TCACACAAAATTTTCAAATGCTGGTTGCACATGCACAGAAGTAATAGTAGTTATTTTTGTGTACGTGCAACCAGCATTTGCCTAATTTCATCAAGTACTTGTGTTTGCTGCAAGGCGGTGCTGGCTTGGAGTGTGGCTCCTCTGCAGTGGCTGTGTTTGGGTGTGTTCTTTCCTCTGTTCTTTCGTTCTTCCTTTTTGGAACTTACTTGGTTTCTTTTCTTTGACTAGCATAGCCTATCGTCGTGTCATTCGTGTCTATCAGTATGAAGTTGGGGATGATCTATCTGGAAGGTTTTTTCCTCTTATTTTCTTACCTCACTTTGGTTTTCAAATGCACTCTTTAATTCCAAGGCTGCTTTCCTTCCGACTAACTCTCACGCCTTAGAGATGCTTGGAGGTTTGTTTCCCTGTTGACTCTTTCCACAGTTGCTTCCCAGCCTCCTGCTCAGGGTTCTGGGCGTGTGCTTCGTCTCTTTAGACGTGCACTGAGTCTGAGCCTGAACCCTGGGGTGAGAACCACCCAGGTCTTGGGTGCGTTTTCTTCGTTACGGAGTGATTCAGCGCCTGAAATCCCCTTCTCAGGAAGCTCAAAAGCCATGTAGGAGGATAGGTTTTGGTGAGGAGGAAAACCTGGGTTTAGTGACTTCAATACCAGTGACTTAAGTTTTAGGAATTTAAATACCAGCGAGTCAGAGGAGAGGCCAGCCCCAGACCTGCTGCACAGCACCCAGACCCGCTGGCCACGCACGGGTTGTTCAGTACGAATGCCCGCTGTGCACATTGCACAGACAGAGATTGTTAAACACTGCTGCTCAAAGCTTGCTTAGGGTCTTGGGGAGAAAGGCAGCATCCAGAGGCTTCCTGTAGCTAGTCCGGATGAAGCAGATCGTGGAGACCATGGCCACAGTGGTGGTCTGGGGGCTGCGGAGCGCCTAGAAGCTCAGCATGGAAACCAGACTGAGGGGTGGCTGTGCCTCAGCTGCTCTGGGCACAGGATGGCAGAGGAGGGGTGGGAACGGCAACTGTCCGCCCACCACTGCTGCGTAGGAGAGCTCTGTAGTTTTCTGCAGTCATTGTGCCATATTAAGGTGACTTTTACACGAAACCAGTAGTTTGCAAGGTCTTTTCCCCCATTTTATCCCCATGTAACACACTTCTGGAGAGCTCCTGTTACCCCCCTGGCCAGTACAGCCCATCTTGGGTGAACCACCTGCAGCTGGTGTGTGCGTGTGTGTGCCGGGCACGGTGGAGCGGGGTGGGACTGCACCCAGTTTCTAATTCCATCAGGTCCAGTAAAGCGGGCGCTTTGGATCTGGCATGAAGTGTGGCTGCTGATCATGTTGCCTTTCAAATGGGGCTAGAAATTAACTATATAAAGAAATAAGACTCAAGACAAGATGTACACATGTCTATCTGAAATAGGATGAGTCAGAATAAAGAAAACATGAAAACAGTGTTTAAATATCTGCAGGAGAATAAAACTGCTGTAAGGATTTTTTAATTTCAAGGAAGGACTGTTAATTTCAAGCCCCACCTGCCATTTTTTGTGGGGTAAGTGCTCTTCTCACGGTGATTCTGTGTTTAGGTCTTGTATGGTGGAGGAATCGGGAACACTGGAGTCGCAGCTGGAAGCTACGAAAGTAAGCAATGCTCACCTACTGCAAAAAGACCTTTCCCAGCTGGTGACTTGGGAGAGCGGGGTGGGAATAGAAATGCATGTAACTGTGTGGCAAAATCTTAATTGATTTTACATGGTTTGCATACTGAAGAGACCTTTGGGATTATCTATTTACATATCTGATGACTACTTATATCACAAGCCATTAAACACCACCGATGTCCTCTTCCTTTTTGTTTTCTCTACGTGAGCGGGGTGGGGCAGAGAGGATACAGCATTTCCAGCACGTTTCCTAATGAGAGGGGGTTTTGTCTCAAGAACTGGTTTGCAAGCCCCGTTGGTCTGCAGTGGTGTGCATGAAGAGGAATACTGTTTGAATACTGTTTTATAAATCCCAGTATATGGACATGTGATCCCAGCAGAAAAAGAAGAGTAGAACCCTTCTGCCACTGCCAGCCTGTGTTCTAACTTCTGAAGGGGATTTCCTGTGCTCTCTGATTTTTCTCCTCTTCGCTCCCTCCTAACAGCGCAAGCACCAGGAGATCCGAGCTATGAGGAGCCAGCTGAAGAAGATTGAGGACCTTGGGGCAGCCATGGAAGAGGCGCTTATCTTGGACAACAAATACACGGAACACAGCACGGTGGGGCTGGCGCAGCAGTGGGACCAGCTCGACCAGCTGGGGATGCGAATGCAGCACAACCTGGAGCAGCAGATTCAAGCTCGGTACTGCCCACCCCGCCTGCAGCGCAAAGCGTGTCTGACCTCGGGGCGGGGGGATGAGACAGGAGACGCGTCTGTGTCTAAAAACAAACCTCGCACGGGCTGCGCTAACGAGTCTCCTGTACCCCAACAAATGGGCACAGTAAGCGTGTAAAGCCCCCCCACCTCCCGGCTCCCTTCAGAGGGTGACGTTAGCGGTTTTGGAGATAGTTCCTGTTGGCCATTAGCAGTGCTGACGTCTCGGGGGTGATGTGATGTATTGCTTGCTCGTTGGTCCTCCCCTTCCAACGCAGACGCTGGCTTGGGGCAGATGGGCTCCAGCAGAGCTCTGCCATTCAGGAACTGCTCACGAGCTTTGCTGCTTCCTTTTCAGAAACACAACCGGAGTCACCGAGGAGGCCCTGAAGGAGTTCAGCATGATGTTCAAGTGAGTCTCAGCGAGGGCGTGCCAGAGCAATGCGCGGGAGAGGTTTCTGGCTCGTGGGTGGCTCCTGTTGACGGCGTTCTCTGACCGATCTGTTTGTGGCTCCTTTGGCTGCCCAGTTGTGGGCTGGGAGCCAGAGCCTCGCCCGTGTGCCAGCGCTTGTGGGCACAGTGATGTGGGAACTGGGAGTGCCAGTCAACTCTAGCTGGGAATGTAGCCCTTTTTTGGATGCCTTGTAAGCAAAGCAAGGAATTTGTCCTTACATTTTACGTATGTTAGATAGAACTATTTATTGATTCAAGCTCCTGTGTCCAGAATAGCGGGCTAGTTGTAATCCCTTCTGGTTTCCAGCCCACTTCATAGCTTTCAGTACTCGACATCCGACACGTAAAAATGTGGGTTTTGTTTTTACATTCCTAGGCACTTTGACAAGGACAAATCTGGACGACTCAATCACCAGGAGTTTAAGTCTTGCTTGCGCTCTCTCGGCTACGACCTGCCTATGGTGGAGGAAGGAGAGCCAGACCCAGAGTTTGAGTCTATTCTTGACACTGTAGATCCCAACAGGTATGGGGGTTGCACCTTTTATTTTTATTTTGCAAAAATACTGTATTGGTGTCCTGCGGGGAGTTGGCTGGAAGGTTTCTCAGAGGCCAAGAGCTGTGCTTCCTTCTGTATCGGAGAGGCTATGGTTGTGTTCACAACAACTCGTGTGTCTTTGTGAAGGTAAGACTGATGTTTGTGAAGAAGAAATTCACTTTGAAAACGGTCTGGTGTTGACGGTCTCCTGCATTAGGACTCTCACTGCTCCCAGGAAGTTACAGGCCCTCTGGGGCAGGCGTGGAAGCGCTGTGTGCCGGGCATTGACCGACAGCTCTGTTCACACGCTGTGTTTCACCGGCAGGGATGGACACGTCTCGCTGCAGGAGTACATGGCGTTCATGATCAGCAGGGAAACGGAGAACGTCAAATCCAGCGAGGAGATCGAGAGCGCTTTCCGTGCCCTCAGCTCAGAGGGGAAGCCCTACGTGACCAAGGAGGAGCTCTACCAAGTGAGTACTGGCTGTGGCCCGCCAGGGAGGAACGGACGGAGGCTTTTGTTCGTAGATTGTTAACAAAGACCAGCACTAATTGCATGGAGGTTCATGTCACTGCAGCCGAGTCAGTTCTGAACATGCAGAGGTATCCACACACAGAAATGATGGCAACAGCCCTACCCAGACCCTTTCTTGGCCCTAGAGGAAGAGGAAAAGCTTTTAACTGCCAAAGAATTGCTTGGGTTGAGTAAAACAAGAGCTCTCCAAGGCCCGGGAAGGAAGCGCGTTCGCTGTGCCTGTCCTCAGAAACTCAGCTTTCCTTCAGCCACTGGGGAGACCCAAGGGAGATGTTTCTCCAGACAGCGATTCAAAGGAGAAACCGAAGCCCAAGCTTAGACAGGGTGAACATCTCCTCCCTCGCACGGCCCTGCTAAGACAGCAGGTTTTTCCTGTCTGAATCCCAGCAGCTGGCAGGGAAACAAAGAGGCTGCACTGCCGCCTCCTATCAGTCACCTGTTCCGTCTCCTTCGGGGGGCAGGCTCAGGTCAGACCTCCCAGCCCGTAACCAAACAGTCCCAACAGCCAGAGCGTTTCCGTGCCGGGCGCAGCTCTGCTACTCTGGCGCACGCCCTGGGAGCAGGAGGGCTGCTGGTAACTGCCCCGTCGGCAGCCTCGGGGTGCCCGTCCCCACCTCCGCGCTCTTTGTCTTTCAGAACCTGACCCGGGAACAGGCCGATTACTGCATTTCGCACATGAAGCCCTACATGGATGGCAAGGGCAGAGAACTTCCTTCTGCCTACGACTACATAGAATTCACACGCTCACTCTTTGTGAATTGATCTAAACACTCATACCAAAAGATGCGAAGAACATGCTCACGTTTGCTGACTGTGGCTCTGCATGTGTCTCTCTCTTTGTGCTCTACAATAATCAATGTTACTTTATGATGTAATCTTAAACTGCTTAGCTTAAAACTCTTATGGAAAACAAACATATTGCAGTGTGCTCCAAATAAAAGTTACTGGTCGAACCACATCATCTTGTGTTTAATGGGTAAATGCAAATTTAACTGTTACGTGGATGAAACTCCCGCTGTCACGGTCGTGAGTTTCACTAGCCAGCGCTGCAGAGGAGGTGAGTGGGCAGCTCTCCCGGGGGCCAGAGCAGTAACAGCCTCACGCAGCTCGCTGCGTTGCTGCCTTAGTCCGCGACCTCGCTTGCCAGCTGCTCCAGGTGATTCATTTCCCTGGGTCCCTGCTCGGTGAAGTCAGAGCTCAGCTGCCAGACTTTGACGGTCCCGGTAGCATCCCCTGCTGCCAAGAGCCGAGTTTGCTTGACGCTGAATTCTAAACAGTACACGGGGTGCTCGCCTGCGGTCTGCTGTATGGACAGGGTGGGCTTCTGCGAGCTCTTCTCAAAGTCAAACAGGTGCACGTCTCCTGTGAGGGAGAAGCTCTTATTGCAGCTTTACGGCAACGGACTTTGTATTGAACAGCAGATTTGTATCTGCTTAGTCTGGAACTTAGCAGAGCGTTTCATTTTAACCTGTTCCCCCTTCCCTCTGACGGTGTCTGGGCTGTGACAGCTGGCATCGCTGCACGACAGTACAGGTTTATTCTGCTGTCAGAGACCTGAAACCAACTCGCCAAAGTCTGTGAAATCTCCATGCCTGAACTCAAACATGTTTGGGCAGTTTTCTAGGGAAAGGTTTCTCAGTTTAAGCCATTAGCTCTAAAAGTGAATGTCAAAACCAACGAAGCTGGAATTCAGTTTTGGCCATGGTAACCTTGCTCTGTTACAGCCCTATGAGAGGCCGTCGCGACAGAAGTAAAGGTGTCGTCAAAAGTGAAAGCCAGCTGTGACTGCACGTGTCTGCTAGGTAGGAATAACTCCATTACACTAATGGCACAGTACAGACAACGGTCATGGCGCTCTGCTTGTGGGAAATGCTAATCAGTACAACTGACCCATACTAATTAATACTCAGCACAATCTTAATTTTATGTCTGAGAATAGGCACCTGCAGTTACTTGCCTTCCCCAGACGCAGCTGCAAAGACCAGTGGGCGAACTGGAGACCAGCGTACGCAGAAGAGGTATTTCTTTGACAACTGAAGAGAAACGAGGGGTTGTGTCTGCAACATGGAGTGCAAGTGGACTTGTCCGTCAGTCCCGCAGCTCAGGAAGAGGTTCCTGTGGGAGGGAGGAAGCGAGAAACAATTTTTTTTTTTGCTTTATTGCTAAAGATACAGAACAAAAATCAGTCAAGGCGCATCACCTTGGACAGCATTACTGCTGTGCAAAGGTCTGCCTGTGTTTCCTAAAGCAGCGCGTTCCCAGCCGTACCGTGGGATGTGGTCTGCAGCGACAGCTTCGTCACTGCCCTCAATTAAGTTTAACGAGGGCTCGTGTTGTCCACCGAGTGTTGCTGGTGGGTGGTGGGCCAGCGATGCCCGAGAGCTGCTGATCTACAGGCAGACGGTGTTCGCGTTGTGTTGGTCCCATGCAAATTAAACACGAACCTGAGCTGTCGGCACGTTTTGGAGAAGCACGGCGTGGGGCCTCGTCCGGGGGTAAACGCAGCCAGAGGTGGGAGCTGCCAACCGAAATTCCGGCAGCTACTGGCAAGATTTCTGATGGGCAGATCATGTCAGCACTGATGGGTAAATGACTTTTTCAGCTCCTCCCCTTGACTGTAAATTGCTTGTTAATTAACATCTAGGATGATCTAGGGAAGGTGTTACTGTTCTATGCTGGCCTGAGTACAAATGCTATTCTGTGTTGTGCCCACACGCAGCATATTCGCAGGGGCAGCTTCACCCGAGCCAGCGGACACCGTGTCTCCTACGACGGGAAGGTCCTGGAGCAAGTTCCTGATGCCAGGTGACCCCTTTTTGGAACTTGCACACACATCCCCGGGGGCTGTTTGACAAACGCATGTTTAGAGCCAGGCAGTAACTGTGTCTGGCACGCAGCAGCGGTGTCAACTCACAGCACTTGCCTGTGGAAGGGCGAGCAGCTCACGGCGTACACCGGCCCAGCGTGCGGGGAGAAGGCGAGCTCCGCGGGCGCCCTGAGGGGAACAGAGCTGCCCATCTGACGGAGAGCCAGCGTCTCTGCTGCCGTGGAGCACTTCAGGGAGTAGCCGCCTTCCACGCCGACAACGAACACGCGGGGATCGAAGTGTGAAAAAGAGAGCGAGGTCACACCCACGGCTGCCTCTCCCCAGGTGAGCTGGGAGAAAAGGAGACAAAGCTGTGGTGAACCGCACGCGTGCCTAGAGCAGCACGGACCAGCCTGCCGGGGCCCTGCGAGCCGCACAGCGTGCACCAGCTGTGCTGTTTGTAGCCCTGCTCAGCCTTCCACCTCTGCACCATCTTCCTGCAAGGGGAGCCAAGTGAATCAATACTGTGAGCAAGTTCTCCATCCCAGCAGCTTCTCTTCAGAGCATGGCAAAACCTTGGCTGTTGCCAGTCTTCCACAGAGGGATGTCAGTATGGGAAAGGAGACGGCGCTCAAGGATTAGTGCGAGTGTTCAAAAGGGGCTTTTCCTGGCCCTGCACATGTGAAGGGCGAGCTCTGCCACGTGGGCTCCTGAGTTAAGAGTGGTTTTGCCAAACCAACCCTCTTTTAATTGCTGAACTCACCTTCTTCATCCGAGCGCTGCGAGGGATCTGCTGAGCCACCACGGCGAATCCTTCGGCCAAGGCCAGCCGACCGTCTCGCTCCTCCCTCCACACCAGGATCTTGCCATCCGTGGACACGCTCAGCAGCCGGGCGTGGTTTCTGTGCTGGGCGTCAGGTAACCAGTTAACCTGTTCCGAACACCACGAGCTCATGACGAGGGGGACTGTCGCAACTGCCAAGCCCCGGCTCAGCAGCCTGCGGTCCCCTGCCCTGCCATGACGACAGGGGAGCAGGGCCAGGCGGCAGCCAGCGATCTGGGTACCAAACCCGCTCCTGGGAGCTGGCACACAGACACAGATGCTAGGAGAGAAACGCATTCAGGTGTTCAGGGCTGAATGCTGCAGGGCAGTTTCTATGGTTCACCTGCCATCGTTTTTGAGACCTGGTATCTACAGCACTTTCAACCAGCCATAAACAGCAGTTTTGTGACTCTCCGTTGAGAAAATACAGAGATTGCCCAGAATCACGGGACCCCAGAAGGACAAACATTAGGAAGTCAGACTCTATGACACGCTTAAAGCACGTAGGTCTAAGCTTCTAACTACAGATCACTGATACCTGGCTACCTACATTTTTAAACCACTACAAGTATTGTCAGCTGCGTCACTAAACAGTTACGGCATGCGACTGTGCCTACTCTTCATTTATCCTGAACAGTGAGAAGTTATTCTTTCCAGGGTGAGCGTCAGGTTCAGCAAATGCCCATTCAGTAGCTAGGTTTGGGGGGAAACAGCCAACCAA